TTTGCTTAACAACCATGGCAAAAAATCGGGCACAACTTGCTTAACAACTACCTTGCTTAGCAACAGAAATTCTGGTCCCAACTGTAATCATAAATTGAGGACTATCTCTAGCTGTTATCTTCAATGAATTTGGCAGTGGCTTTAGTTACCTTAAAGAAAGATCAGGTATGAAAATGTTTAAAAGCACCAGTTCCCGCACACTTTCTTAAGGGACTCCACTCCCCCCCCCCATTATTCCTACTCTTTATTTTTTGCTTTTAATCTATTGGCAATCCCTAAAAGGACATGTCTTCTTATCTCTCTTATCATGGCCACTAAATTTACTCAAAAGCAATTAATGAGGAATTTGTCAAAGTTCTGTTGCAAATTCAAGGATATAATGTTAATATTATGTTAATGTTCTATCTATGTTTTCTCTCCCCCTCCCTTCCCGTCTCTCTCTTTCTCCATGTATATATATAAATTTCATTTTTAATGTGTGCCAGTGTGTTCACAGAAAAAAGTAACAAAAAGGTTCTTTTATCTTGTCTTGTCTTGTCCTGTCCACTTCCCTCCCTCTCGTTCCCATTGAACCTGTTGGCACTTTAAAAACTAATTCTCAGTTGCTTAGATGGGACATGCCTTTACCTAATTCATTCTCATATCCTAACAAGACTTCATCCTCTGTATCTTTATTTTTTCCCTTTGGATTACCATTTCCACCACTTTTTCATGAGCCAGATGTTAAACCGAGTGACTTATAATTTCCTAAATCTTCTCTGGGTCATGTTTAAAAATTGATACCACGTCAGTTCTTACTTGTCTTTTGGCACAAACCTGATCTGAGGACAAAACTACATATTTCACTAGGAAATAATGGCATATTTGATTTATTTAAGTATTGTCAGATATAGTAAATGCTATCGATACCTAGTGATTCATTTCCTGTATAGTTTCTCAAAATATCATTCAATTTTTTTCTAGTTACCCCAATTTGCTTTTGGTATTCTAATTCTCTGGCTGCCTGAGAAAGTTAATTATGGTTCAGATGCCAGTTCTGTATTGTCTATTAGATGTAAAGAACTGTAAAGAACTTGTTCTTTTTCTCAACGATCTCTGCATCTTCCTTGCCCTTTTTAAAAATTATTTCCCCCCTCCTCATTTTTCAGGCAATTCGCTTCCTTGTCCAGTTTTCTAGGCTGACTATTTTATTTTATTTATGTATTTAAATGTGGCTACCCATTTTCTAACCAACTCTTCCAATCATGTGGGATTATCCCAATCATGTGGAAATAAGTTTTTAAAAGTGTTTTTGTTTTACTTCCCTTTGTGCTTTCTATTTCCTAAAAAAATGCTTCCTTAATTTTTATAGCTTCCTGGATATTAGAAAACTATGTTGGCATCTTGGACTTGGCCGACTTCTTCTTACAATGTGAAATACATTCCACTGAGTCTCAATTATTGTGGTTTTAAATAACTGCTGGCATTATGGAATGATCTGGCCCTTTTTCATCAGTTCCTTCCTTTTTTAGAAGTTTCGCCTTTTGTAGACAAAAGTGACTAGGTTGGACCTTGCTAGCTATTTTTCACTGGCAAATATACTAAATGCAGTAATATTTTTATCAAATCAGATTTTCCCTCGGTTTCATTACACTTCTATTTCATACCGGAATATAGTCATTATTTAAGATTACAACTTGCCCCATAATCAACTTCATATATGTGTAGTGTTACTGAAAAAAGAGAATGTAGCTCAAGGTTGAAGTGTGGGTCCTTGGTGTTCTTTGAGCTTGGTGGTTTTCCTAAAGATGTTTCATTACCTGACTTGATAACTTCATCACAGATCATAGTTTGATAATGAAACGTCTACAAGAAAACCGCCAAGCTCAGAGATCACCAAGGACCCCACATGTGTATGTGCATAGTATATATTTATCTCCAAGAAGCTTCTTCAGTTCTTCTGAAGTACTTCTCTTGGTTGATAAGTAAAAGAAGGAGCCTGAGTGGCGTAGGAGGCTAATGCCTCCGACTAAGGCAGCATTTAACATCCAGCTGCCTGCAATTACTGCGAGTTCAATTCTCACCAGGCTCAAGGTCGACTCAGCCTTCCATCCTTTCTAAGGTGGGTAAAATGAGGACCCGGTTTGTGGGGGCAATAAGCTGACTTTGTATAAAACATACAAAAGTATGAAGGCTATTGCTTAACACATTGTAAGCCGCCCTGAGTCTCCGGAGAAGGGCGGCATATAAAAATGAATAAAAATAAATTAAAATAAAATAAAAAGCATTTTTGGGACAACCATGACCTGGATGATTGAGAATCTCCATAGATACATATCTTTGGATGTCTGAAACAGCCCAAACAATGCATCATATGTCATGATATCACACTACAAAGCCCCTACTTTTGTACGTGCATCTAATGTCAGGAAGTAAGTCCAAAAGGCAATGTTTGTGCAGTGACATCACAATGCTTATTTTGACAGATTTTTTCCTGGGGCTAGAAGTAGGTCCCTAGGTCAATTTAGGATCTTAAAAAATTCGTTCTTGACAAATATCTCAAGCTAGAACTAATGCTCAAATATGTTCTTCACTCAACATACCAAAAGATTCTGTTATTCTTAGCAATATGCTTTTTGCCAGCCATATGCAGAGGAACAGAACATTAATAGTATGGTGCACAATCCAGGTGAGTCATACGAAAAGTATATTTCCTTTCCTTTTTCCTGTGCTACAAACTGGTCTGTAGGAGTATCTTGAACCAATGAGAAAGCATCCCAAGGTTTCATTAGAAACCTCATATATCCATATATGTCGCTCAAGTACTCTCTGGAGATCTCTGAGTACCGCTTGCTTAGTACATTAACCAATAAAGTTATGCTTGGTTACTTTTCCTGAATATGCTCATTTGCTGAATGGCTGGAAGCTGCAGGTGATTTGAAAAGGGATGCTAATGTGCCAGAATGAAGGGCTGAATTTTGAACATGCAGATGCTTTTCTTTTTCTCCCCCCCCCAACCATCTGGAATGCTTCCAGAAAGATTCCACTTGGAACCAGAAAATCAATGCGCTTAAAAATCCACTTCAGCTTTGCTTATTTTGATACTTGTACCTTGCAAGATGCGAGGGTTCAGCTTGGAGTAACACTGGTGGATTTGGTATTGAATATTCAGCTATTTTCAGGCTGAAGCACCGGCCGAAAATCTTATTTGATCATCTTTGGAATCAATATTTCTTTGAACTAGGATTTACAAGTACTAGTCATAGATTTGTTTTTAATGGCTTCTCTTGTTAGAGGGAAGGACAAGAAGTAAGTTTATTAAAGAAAGATCCAACAGAAAACTAAGGAGAAATTTCCAGACAGTGAGAACAAGTTGTGGGTACTCCATTACTGGATGGTTTCAAAAATAGGCTGGACAACCATTTGTCTGGGATGGTAAAAGACCGTGATGGCGAACCTATGGCACGCGTGCCACCTGTGGGCACGTGAGCGTTGCCCTAGCTCAGCTCCAGTGCGCATGTGTGCGCAGGCCAGCTGATTTTTGGGCCTTCTGGGCCCACTGGAAGGTAGGAAATGGGCTGTTTCCAGCAGGGGTGGGTTCTACTTACCTTTACTACTGGTTTGCAATGGGAGCATGTGCATGCGCTCCTGCGCATGCGCAGAAGCTTTTGCACATGCACAGATCATCCATGATGACGTCCAGGTGGGTGGGTGGAGCCTCCTGTCGCTTTTACTACCGATTCACAAGAACTGGACTGAACCGGGAGCAACCCACCACTGGTTTCCGGCCTCCGGGGGGGGGGGGGGGGGGAAGAAGGCCGTTTTCACTCTCCCCGGACTACTAGAAAGCCTCTAGAGCCTGGGGAGGGTGAAAAATGGGCCTTCCGGTCCCACCGGAAGCCGGGAAATGATCTGTTTCCGGCCTCCGGAGGGCCTCCGGGGATGGGGTGGGGGGTGGAGAAGGCCGTTTTTGCCCTCCCCAGTCCCATGATGGATTTTTTCACTATTTGTATTCTATAATTTGTACTCAAAATCAACTTAAGATAAAAAATGCTAATGTTGGGATATTTCTATGTCCTATGCAACTAGCTAGTCCTGTCCATTTTCCTTTCACCTGACATGCCAATGGCCCTTTTAAAACTATTGTCATTTTACTAATAGGAAAAACTGCATTCACCAAACCATCTCAGTTTGGGTATAATGTAATGCAACTGGAAAGAAACTAACTCTAGATATGAAGGAAGGATTTAGGATATGAATGTGCTATTTTTTTTTTTTTGGAAGTGTTGTCTTTATGAACTCAACCTCTTGGAGGTTGCCTAATTCACCCCTGTTTATTTTTCAGATTTGGTCAGAAAGAATATATTAGTCTTTGATACTGCCTCTGTAACTGTATTATTTTTATGCATTGGTTTCGTAAATGTGCTTTCAGCTCCGTTCTCTGTATGTTTGCCTGAAAGTATGTCCTAAAAGTACAGTCGGGTTTGATTTCTGTAATTGTGATAGAAAAAAACTTTGTAGGGAGGGAGGGAGGGAGGGAGGGAGGGAGGGAGGGAGGAAGGAAGGAAGGAAGGAAGGAAGGAAGGAAGGAAAGAAGGAAAGTGTCAGTCAATCCAGGAGCATTGATCCAGGGGTGGTAATCCAGTATAAAACTTTATATGGGGAGCACCATGCATATCCAAAGATTGAGACAAATCTATGGGGAGTGCATATGCAAAAAGCAGTATTAAGCAAGTTGTTTGCAGATGAATGTAGGAGAGAATAAGATCTAATATCAAACATCTACATTAGGGAAAGGGAAGGCATGAATAAGAACAGAAGGAGAGGACTTGGAAAGGGGTATTAAGCAATAAAGTTCTGGAGGTGAGCAATGCATGGTACTAATCTGTTGAATTCTAGTCCTCTAAAGAAGATGCACACAGTGACACACATACACACACCCCAGCACAACTCATATTTCACAGGGAGTGAATCTTTTTAATTGTCACAGGATGTTTCAGCAATGTAAGAAGCCCTGCAGTGGTTGAACAATGCATGAACAGCAGCCACTGCTTCTCTCTCTTTCTCTCCCTCCACCTCCTGCTCTCTCTCTCTGTTGCTAAACACGCTTCCTTCTGTCTTGCTTTCACTCAGGCAGAGTCTGACAGAACATCCAGCTTCATGGGATAGAGATTATCAGTGACACCCTGTTGAAGGCTTGGTCCCTCAGCATTATAAAAAAAAGGACAGCTTTCAGGGAAAAGTCCACTTCTGTCGTTTAAAGGGGCAGGAGAGGAAGGTTTTCTCTAAAAGAGAAAACTTTGAACAAGACCCCTTGCCTTGGGCTCACCACAAGATTCTGCAGGGTGGAAAAAGAGTGGAAATTCTAAGAACAAAGAGCTGGGTCAGATACTGCAATGAAACAATAACTCCAGGTAAGTGGCTTTTTTGAATGCATTTTCCAGCCAAGGAAGTTGGAAGGGAGTGAGATGGAGGATGCTTTTTTATTTAGTGGAAACCGTCAGGGTTTTGGGGGAGAAGAGCTTATTTCATACCATGCCGTTTGAATGCATTGATGCTGCTATCATCTATAAAACTTCCTTCTTTTGCTGCTAATTTTTGGCAGGTGACGGTGTTTTGGTTTTTTTTTTAAGAGGGGTGCAGGATGTAAGATGGAAGCATGCAGCTTCCCATGCCATACGTAGACCTGTTTCTTTTATTTGACTGACATCTCTGATCAAATGGGCTTTGCAGTTTGGGGAATACTACAGGTATTACAGGTAACAGAGGAATAAACATTCAAGTCGTGGGCTATGATGCAACTCACCATCTTCATTTGTTGGAAAATATTGCCTGCCGTTAACTTCCAGTGAAGCGAGACTGCACGTGCTATAAGCAATCTTCCTAGGAATGTCAAAATATTTGCTTGGTGAGGCGGAGATTGGGAAGCAGGGAGCCGAGGGAAGGGAAATGTACAGATTGGTTAATATTCCTAGTTCCTTTTGTTCCCTGGATGTTTCCCTTAGGAGAAAGATCTTGGGGAATTCTCTCCATCATTTTCACTTTTGGAAAACTGTTGGTTTCTTCTGTGCACTGCTTTCCCTTCGGTACTCGGTTCATAGATAGAACCAAAGTCTATCTTTCTTGCTTGCTTTGGTCTTTTTGTATATTTTGACATACTCTTTTGCCCACTTGCTTCTGGATCTAGCCTGCAGACTCAGAATGAACTCTGTGCTTTGGCTTTTGAGCATTTAGAAAAATCTGATAGTTTTGAGAATAGGCTTCCTCATATATAAAAGAATCCCACGGTATAATAGTTAGACTGATCAGATATGGGATGATTTCTGGTGAAGATATAGCACTAAACCAAGCACTTTTAGTACTTTTTGAACTCCATTCCTTCTCTGCTTCCATCCTATTTTATTGCTTCTTTTGTGCTCTGCAGGCTGAGCTCTTGGGTTATTCCTAGAAAAAGGAGAAATGTATATCCCAGCTTGATTTTTTTAGATAGAAAACTCAAACTCACACAGGAAGATCAGTTTAGGGGTGACTTTCAAAAGAGGACTCCTTGCAGTTAATTCCTACAGCTTGGCTAGATACCTTTGCAGTCATCCGTGAAAATGTCCTCCCCATTAAATCCCCCCATCCATAGAATTTGGGAATTAAAATAAATGCCTGCAGAATGTTTTGGCTAAAGTCCTGAAGGCTTGCTGTGTTTTCAGCCAGCATGAAATAGCTACCACAGTGGCATTCTCCTTCCTCTAAATTCTTTTTTTCTTTTTTTGGGGTGGAGGAAATGAAATTGTATATAACTTGCTAACTTCTCTTTGTGAGAGTGATTGGAAAACCGTGTTGCTTTTTGTTTTAAGTAGGAGAATCATCTCAGTCTAGTCTTTCTAGTCCTGAAACTTTTTTGTTCCCTCCACAGGAGACAAATGCTGCTCCTGGGTTGGCTCTGTGCCAGCAAGATCACAGTCCATCATCCTTCTCAGATAGCAGAGCCCATGATTTTTCAGCTCCGTGGCAGCCCAAGAGGATCATTGCAAATCTGAGGGAGATGGGCAGTTTCAAAATTAGATGTGTGTGTGTGTGTGTGTGTGTGTGTGTGTGTGTGTGTGTGTGTATGAGAGCGAGGCAGAGGGATAGATAAAAAGATAAATAGATAGATGATAGATAGGCAGATAGACAGACAGATAGACAGATAGACAGATAGACAGACAGATAGACAGATAGACAGATAGACAGGCAGACCAACAGACTGACTGACTGACTGACTGACTGACTGACTGACTGACTGACTGACTGACAGACAGACAGACAGACAGACAGACAGACAGACAGACAGACGATATAGGGTAGGATTCAGACTGTTGGGAAGAATAATCCCTTTGTCCCGCCTCCTTAGCTTTCCCTCCAGGAGTTGAACTCCCATATTGTTCCCTGCATTTCTTCATCAGTTTCTTTAAAAAGTGAGTCCTCGTTGAATCCCCTCTCATAGCTGCTGAGATTTTGTTTTAGTAATAAATTGCAAAATCAGATGGAGATGAAACTAGAAGGCTATCTCTATCAGTTTTCGTCTTCTCTGTTGATCAGCTGGAGGAAAACCTCCTTGACAATTCCTTAATGTGGCAACAACAGAGATGGTGAAGACACTTGCAGGCTACTGTGAATTGATATAAGAGAGTTTGGGGAATGAAAATGGTGGCTACCTGAAAATGTCTTAAGTGCGGGCTAGTGGAGCTGTTGCAGAAATTGTGTATTGTCATGCTCCAGTTTGCATTTTTATTTCCTTAATTGTAAGCACCTGAGGGCGTCATCCAGGACAAGACTACTGTGTGCTTCAATAAACTCATCCTTCCTGCAAGGGCACAGAGTTTAAAAAAACAAAAACAAACCACCTATTACAGGGAACCTATGTGCTTACCATCAAATAAATACAATTGTAATATGAAGCCAGATGTCATGCAATATCAGGAAATGACTCCTGTTGAGTGGGATTGATCTTTTGACAGGTAGATGGAGGTTAGTTTGGTTTGACAAGGCTGGAAGGGTTCACCTTGTGTTGCTGGCTTTTGGCCCATAAGTCCGAAGCTTTTGTTTTTCATGTTAATCACAAGCCTCTTGGCTTGGCTAGAAAACATGTTTGGTTAGAAGGATTGGACGGAACGTTTATTTTTGGGCACAGAAGCATGTTTCCTTAACTTCTAGTTTTGTGCATCTCCTTACTTTGTCAGAAAGCATTCCACACGCTAGTTAACATCTGCCTTTGTTTAGGTCTTGGATCCATGGAGATTGATGTAGCTGAAAAGCTAGGACTTCAAAAGCAGGATGCTAAGGATATGGGATAAAGCAGTACTGTATTCTTTCTCTTTGATTATCATGCTAAATGTAAACATGCTTTTTATTAGAATCCTCAACAAAATAACACTGCTGGGAGTATCGTGATTGCCCTCTTCTGGCGGCATTTTATAATCCCCAGAACTTTCCCTTAAGTGAGTTCCTTGTTCAAAGAGGACTTTGAACTTACCCCTTTCCTCTGTTGGGCACATAGATTCACTCTCGTGAAAAAAAATAAATGATAATTGGGTTGGGAGAAGCTACCAGGCGGTAATCAAGAGTACCGCCTGGACATTCCTGGACTGAGAGATTTAGCACAAAAGTCAACAGGAGAGACAAACTTAAAATAAGGTTTCGGAGTTGTGCAAGTTTTATACAATTGTCGTTTTCCAATTTCTTATTACCTGAACTGTGCTTCTCATCCAGATTTCACTATTGCTTTGATCTGACGTTTGGACAAGCAGGAATTATTCACGTATAGTGCAATGGTGGGATTCAAAATTTTTTACTACTGGTTTTGTGGGTGTGGCTTGGTGGGCGTGGCTTGGTTTGGTGGGCGTAGCAGGGGAAGGATACTGTAAAATCTCCATTCCCTCCACACTCCAGGGGAAGGTTGCTGCAAAATCCCCATTTCCTCCCGATCAGCTGGGACTTGGGAGGCAGAGAATAGATGGGGGCGGGGCCAGTGGTGGTATTTACTGGTTCTCTGAACTACTCAAAATTTCTGCTACCGGTTCTCCAGAACTGATCAGAACCTGCTGAATACCACCTCTGATACAGTGCTTCCCAATTCTTGTGGATCTTACAAGGTAACATGTATGCTTAAAGGCATCCTTGAAGAGTCTGTTCTACTATTATTTCTCTGAATTTATCTGAGGCAATTAAAAGTCTCACTGGCTAATTTAAAGAAACACCATAAGATGGGACAAAAAGAACAGCTCATATTAAGTATGGAACATTCTTACGGAGATAATACCCATTTGGTTGCTGCCCTTCTTCAGTGACAGTTATGTTATGACAGTTATGAGGGGTGATGAAAAAGTAACTTGGCAAGGTTTTTGGAAGATGGTTTGCCATGGCCTCCTTTCTAGGGTTGAGAGAGAGTGAGTGGCCAAACGTCACTTGCTAGCTTTGTGCTTAAAATCGGATTAGAGCTCTCAGTCTCCTGGATTCTACCTGATGCCTTAACCACTATACTAAACTGACTTCAGAAGGAAAGTAATAACCATAGAAATAGAATTAGACAGGAATCAAGATTTTTGCCGCACAAAGAGCAAGATATTTATGTTTTGTGTTTGAGTGGATAGCAGATTGGTGGTGAGTCTTCTGCACTAACAATGGAGATATGAGAGGGGTGGCATTTTATTTAAAGATCTTTTAAGGGGAGACCTGCAGCCAACATAGGGAGAGGTTTATCTAATCTTGTAAGGACAACTTGAAATTCAGGAAACAGAGGCAATTTATTGGACACTCCAAGTTATAGGCCTATTAAGTATGCAGGAGAGGGAACCAGATCTTGAATGCATTGCTGCCACCTCTCAGAATCCACTTCTCTTCCCTCTGCCCATCGGACGACTTTTAGCAATCTAGAATGTGAATGCTCAGGGAAGCCAAAAACTGAAAATATTAAGAGGAAAAATCAAAACTGATCTTTTATTATTTAAATTTAGGCCAGAAATGCTCTGTATTGTTGCAGGGTAGAATAACAGAATCTTAAAAGCCCACCAGAACTTCTCAGTACCACAAACAAAATAAAAAGGGGAGGGTTATTTTGAGTTTCTCTCTTTTGCGTTCCTCTTTCTCAGGACTGAGAAATCTGTGCTGAAACTCTCTTCCTAATGGAACATTACTCTCTTTCTGCTTCCCAAGGAAGGTCAACATTCTTCCTCTGTGAAACCACAAGAGTGGATACAAGGTGCAGCCCAATAAGTGGGAACAAGATTGGATTAGGTGATGAAAATATGAGTGCCCAATTTTCTTTGTAATCTATACTTCAAGTTGATATCAGAAACCGTTTCTTGATAATCAGATCTGAAGCAGATGATGACTGGTAATTTTGTCATTGTCAGCCTTTGAGAATTGCTATTATCTTTGTACC